CTTCGAGACCGCCTTCTGCCACAGATTACCTCCCATCGGCCAGTACGCTCCCACAGGGTGGGTCTCCTCAGGGTGCCGTCGGCCAGACAGTGCCGGCTGGCGACCCCAAGGGGGAGGGCCTTCTCTGTGGGAGCTCCCACCCTCTGGAATGAGCTTCCCCCAGAGATCAGGGTGATCCCTGATCTCCCTTCCTTCCGCCACGCCCTCAAGATATGGCTATTCCAACAAGCGGGACTGGCCTAGGGTAATTTTTAAGAGGGGTTTTAGAGGGGTTTTTAATCATATTTTAATCAGACAATTTAAATATTTCATTTTAATTAATTTTAATTTTGTGATTGTTATCGGTGTTTTTAATTGATTGTCAGCCGCCCTGAGTCCGCAAGGAGAAGGGCGGGATATATAAATTCGAATAATAAATAATGGGAAAGTTGCAGCAATGAATTAAAGCTGAACAATGCCTGACCTCACGTTGCATATTGGAATAAAACTGTAGAAATAACATTAGGGCTTAGAGTGATATCTCTGTATATGAGGCCTATCTTTCCGCTTATGTAAGCAACCATATTTCAACAAGTCATATTTTGGCAAACTGTGTAAATCCAGATTATTATATGGTGCCATTAAGATTCAAGAAGAAATAATATTTAGTTTTAAAAACATTACATAAGCCTCCAGTGTAATTGACTTTTGAGACTATCAAATTTAAATAAAGAATTGGCAGCTGGGAGATTTTCTGAGAGTAATTTAAATTAAATTACTAATATTATATAATGTATATTAATAATGAATAATGGATTTGGGGGGAAAAAATCAAAGAACTTGATATATTTTATCCAGGGAAAAGAAGCTTGTCTACAGCAATATAAGATAATAAATGTTATACAGGACAAATGTAATACAGAAATGTAAGACAAATTAATACATGGCAAGCAAAGACTTCAGAGTTTTTAGGGACCCTTTTAGTGTCAAATTCAGTGTCAAATTCAGGGATCACCTTGGTCAGACATCATGTCCCAGGAATCAGTGGGGTTTTTTTTTAATATATAGCTGCTGCTTCTCTTGATACTCTCTGTTAAGATATACTTTATACAGTATATTAACAGAATTTGACTTTTTACCCAACTCGCTAATTATTTGTTTACAAATAATTGTTTGCATTTTGTTTTGCGTGTTATGAACATAATTGTGGATTATTTAAACCATTATCTTAGAACACATGAACACAGACTGCTCCTTGGCTTCTGATCCTCTGGCAGCATTATTCGGCATTATAATCTATAGTGTTTAGCATTTGGGGACTAAAGAAATGTTAGTGTTGCATTGTAAAATACATTAGCACCAAGAGGGTTACAACAATGGTTTCCTGTGACTGGAGACAGACTTGGTGAATCTTCAAATATGGAATGTTTGTTTCTAGTACCCCAACAACCGTCCTTTCCATTTATGAAGAAGCAGCTAAGGCAACCTCTGTCCACTAAGGTGCAACATCACAAGGGAGCTTGGTTCACCTCACTCCTCTCCCCATCTTTAGTGGATTGGCAATTGTGTAATTGGAATGGAAAGCTTGATTAATAAATAATATCAACTACGATGAGAAGAGAGAAGTACCTAACCATTCTTCCAACATATATCACTGTGAAATCAAATATGAGATTCAGGGTGTAATTGTCTGTGAAAAATTCCAAGGATTATACTTTCAGTGATCAATTATATAGAATAGACACATGTACATATCTTTGTTAAAAATATACATATTATATATATATATATATATATATATATATATATATATATATATATATATATATATATATATATATATANAATATATATATATATATATATATATATATATATATATATATATATATATATATATATATATATATATATAGAGAGAGAGAGAGAGAGAGAGAGAGAGAGAGAGAGAGAGAGAGAGAGAGAGATATGAAGACATATAAAATGTGATAAAATGTCAATCAAAATGTTATTTTTGTACATATAAGGATACAAAGATAAGCAAACTCTAATCTTTACATCATGAGTTCATAATCTTTATGTTTCTATTTCAGATGATTCACCCCCAGAGAATGCCTTTCCTTTGGCTTTTCCAAATCTAGAACAGCAGCTCCAGGTGCCTTTGTTTTGCTTTTTTAATATTCAAAGCTACAATATGGAACATGTTTTTTAAAATTATCAATAATGTACTATTGTTAGTGGGAATCCACATATATATGCAATTAAGATGTTCTCACATACTAAAAAATGATTTGATCTGCAAGATAACTTAACAGAATTTATAATAGGTAAAATATAAGGAATAGAATTTAAGTGTATTCTTCTAGGGCAAAGAGTAAGGGAACTTTACTTAGAACAATTATGAGGTGATACAGTTCTTCCTGAGGCAAATAAATAAATTCTAAAAGCTTCTGATGCCACAGTGATAAAAAAAATACATTGCAATATACGATTCAATCCAAGGAGAAAGGGAGGAGATATAGGAAGGGATATTAGAATCTCTTAGTTTCAGTTGTGTAGCACCGTTAGATCATTATATGATATCATTGGGAGATTAAAAAAGAAGTCAGTTTAGATTGTGCATGTCATTTAAATATATGTTGGTAAGTAAGAAAAGGAAAGACAAAGATTTTAAAGAAAGGAACAGTAAAGAAACAGGATTTTAACTACAGTTCCATACAATTCAAAATGTTCAAAACATTCTGACCAACAATACAAGCATAATATGTGGCACACGGGTTTGTACTTAGGCAAATGATATCCTGCAATGCACAAGAATTTCTTAATGGGAGAGTCCTGAAAAAACGTTGGAATCATTTTTTCTTGGCCTAAAGAACTAATAAAAATAAACAGTGCTTTTTTTGTGTAAAAAAAAAAAAGGTGCCAAAACTCACACACATCATACAACCTGCCTTGCCTACTCTACAAGGTTCCATCCAAAAAAGGTGCCGGAACTCTGTTCTGGGCCTTCTATGACAAAAAAGCCCTGAAAATAAATATTTAAAATATTCTAAAGCCATTAATTGCATAAGGTGCTTTATTTGATATTACACCATTGTTGTAAAACACTAATCCTAACTGTGATATTAATATTGCACAATTTGTTCAGTTAGTGCTCTAAATATTGTAAGCAAAACAGTCCTTTTCCTCATTGGTCTTTATCTTCTTATCAAAAGTCCACCAGAAGATATTATTTTACAATGTTGCCAAGATGTGCCAATATTTAGTGTTATGTTTTCAGTTTGGTGAGGCATTGAAGAGGCAAATGGTGCAAACAGCAACCCTTTATTCAGCTAACAACAGAAGCAGCCCTAACTGCTGCTTAACCACTATTTATACAGCTCACCACTAGGCAATAGCCAATAGAATTAAAGCAGTATTTCCCTCTTAAAGACAAGCTAATTAAAATGTAGACAGTCAGTCTGGAGCTTAAACAGGTGCAGCCTTTTGGCCGTTTCCAACAGTTTCCAAGTAAATTAACCTCAATACATAACACCCCTTCCCCCTAGATAGTTCATAATGACAAATATTGAACATAGTCCTGTAAATATTTTGATGGCCTTCTTGACTGTTCCGAGCACCTTGGCACTACTGTAGGCCTCCGATCCAATAGCTCGCCAACCAGGCTGGGTAGACCGGGGCTTTGGGACCCGTTTACTACGGGTAGCCCTGAGTGTCTGTGGCTGGTCTGTCTGGGTAGATCCAAGCCAGTGTCTATAGGTGGAATGGTTTCCACTGGGCTGGGAATCAGAGCTGACTGCCGGAATTGCTCAGTGGGTGCAGTCTCTATGTTCGGGGCCAACTCGCTGTCCGCTAGTGCCCCTCTCCTGGGAGTCTCACCCACGCTCGAAGACTCTGATGCATGGGTGTTGTCGGTCTCCCCCTGGATTTGGCTTTCGCGAGAGTCATGAGCCAGCGGCTGGTTCTCTAGCCTCCTGCGCAGTTGGTTGATGTGCCTGCATATCACACAACTGTCTTCCAAGACCACTTCATAAGAGAGTGGTCCTGACACCTTACCAACCACAGCTACCACCCACAGTGCCCCTTGCCCATAGTTTCGAGCCCAAACCAGGTCGTCAACTTGCAATCTCCTCAGTGGCGTTGGCTGTGCTGATTCCAGTGCAACTCGGTCTGGATGCAGACAATCCAGCTTAGTGATTAAGTGACGGCCTCATCTTAATTCTGCTGGGCTTCTGCCCGTGGAAGTGCAGGGAGTCGTGCGTTGGCAGAGTAAGAAGTCTGCCAGTCTATGCTGCCAGTTGCCGGTTTCGATCCTTTTTAAGGATTCTTTAGTCGTTCGGACCATGCATTCCGCTTGGCCGTTAGAGGCTGGGTGAAAAGGTGCTGAAGTGGTGTGCCTGATCATGTTAGCCCTTAAAAAGGACTGGAATTCTGCAGTGGTAAATTGAGCCCCATTGTCTGAGACTATCACGTCGGGTAACCTGTGTGTTGCAAAGATCCTGCGCAGTTCCTGAATGGTCCTGGTAGTAGTCATAGTTGGAACAGGTGTGACCTCTAACCACTTAGAGTGACTGTCCACCACAATAAGGAACAGCTGTCCCTGAAAAGGGCCTGCAAAATCGATGTGGATTCTTGACTACGGGGCTTGTGTGGTTTCCCATCAATGGACGGGGGCTTGCGGCATTTCTGGTTGGGATTGCTGGCAAATGTAGCAGCTGTGTATTTGGGCCTCAATATCTTTATTTAACCCTGGCCACCACAGGTAGCTTCTCGCGAGTGCCTTCATCCGGACTATTCCCGGATGTCCCTCATGCAGAGACTCAAGTACCCTGGGCCTCAAGGAGTATGGAACTATGACCCGACTCCCCCACAAAATGCAGCCTTTGTGAGCTGAAACCTCATCCTTCCTCCTACTGAAACTCTGAAAGCTAGCATCCAATTCAACACATGGCTCAGTGTCTTGTCCGAAGCTGTTTCGGCAGCCACGTTCCTTGCATTAAGGGGAGACTCTGGCAAATCCTGGATAGCCAGAATGCGAGCCGCTGGAGCAGGGTCTGGCTCTAAGTGTGGCAGGAGCAGTCTGCAAAGGCCGTCTGCATGGCCCATTTCCCTGCCCGGTTTGTGAATCAGACTGTAATTATAAGCTGAGAGAAAAATGGACCACCTCAGCATCCTTGGAGAGAGAATCTGAGGTGTTTGTTTGTCTGTAATGAATAGACCCAGGAGTGGCTTGTGGTCCATAAAGACCATGAATGGCCGACCATACAAGTAGTCATGAAATTTCTTAATACTGGTCACAATGGCCAATGCCTCTTTATCTATTTGGGCGTAGTTACATTCCGCCAAGGACAGAGTCCTTGAATAATAGACTATTGGAATTTGTCTTCCGTCAGCCGTTAAATGACTCAGCACAGCCCCCACCCCATACGGGGAAGCATCACAAGCAATGCAGACAGGCAGCTTTTTGTTAAAATGCGTCAATACTGAGTTTGAAGACAACAATGATTTGACTGCTAAAAAACTCCTCTCCTGAACGTTCGTCCACTGCCACTGTGCCTTCTTGTCCAAGAGCCGGTGTAACGGCTCTGCCATTGCGGCCTTGTGTGGTAGAAAGGCATGATAAAAATTGAGCAGTCCCAAAAATGCTTGAAGCTCCCCCTTTGATTTTGGACTTGGGGCCTGCTGAATTGCTTTGAGCTTGATTTCAGCAGGGTGAATGCCTTTGGCATTTATGCAGAAACCGAGGAACTCAGTCGAAGCTACCCCAATTTTACATTTCTCCTTTTTCAGTTTCAGGCCCGCTTCACGGAAATGCTGAAGGACGGCCCTGAGCCGTTCTGCCAATTTCTCTACTGACTCCCTAGCTATGAGGACATCATCGAAATATGGACACACGCTTGGAATACCTTTGAGCGTGCGCTCCATCATGCTCTGGAAAAGTCCTGGGGCGACACTAACTCCGAATTGTAGGCGCTTCACCCAGAAAGCTCCCCTGTGGGTAACTATAGTTTGAACTTCTGCCGTGGCATCGTCCACGGGCAGTTGCTGGTAGGCTTGAGCCAAATCCAATTTGGCGAATATGCGTCCTCCCTGTAGTGACGCCAAAATGTGGCTGACTATAGGGACCGGATATGAATGTTGTTGAAGCGCTCTATTAATAGTGCACTTATAATCTGCACATATGCGCACCTCCCCATTGACCTTAAGTGGTGTAACTATGGGGGTTTCCCACCTACTGCTGTCTACTGGCTGCAACACACCTTGTTGCACTAGCTTGTCCAGCTCTATGTCAATTTTGGGTTTGAAGGCAAAAGGCACTCTATGAGGCTTGATCCTTACTGGGGTTATGGTAGGATCAAGGTGGAGGGTAATTGGAGTACCCTTATACTTCCCTAAGTCTTGGCTGAATACATCAGCAAACTCTTGGCAAACTAATGACAGGTCTGCTGCTTGCATTCTATGTATGCCAGTCACGTGGATGCCCAATGCATCAAACCAGTCTAGCCTGAGGAGGCTTGTGCGGTTGTCTTCAACAACTACAACGTCCAGGAGACCCTCAAACTCTTTGAACTGCACTTTGAGTGTGGCTTCTCCTTTAACTGCTACGCGGGAGTTTTGGAAATCAGTTAACAGAAGATTCAATGGCTTGAGTTTGACTTGTTTGCTGCTGCGACTGCAAATGTGGTTAAAAGTTCCTTGGGAAATTATAGACAGGGCTGACCCCATGTCTAGTTCCATGTTTCATGAGACTCCATGAAGCTTGACTTTGAGTCTCAGCTTCTCCTTCATGGGGTGATGGGCACCTGTTCTAAACACATGCCTTCTGCTGGCACAAAAACCCACTCAGGCCCCGGTACCTTTCCTGAGAAATTCTTGTGGAATGTCCCTCTGGCGACCTTTACAGACGGCGATGTGGCCTTGCTTGCTGCACTCCCGGCATGTTGCTGTGCAGAACCTGCACTCCGAGAGTCTATGTCGGCCTCAACAGCTCATACATCCAGTGAAGGGAACTTCCTTGTCAAGTGGCCGTTGAACTCTTGCTGGTGGCTCCTGCAGCAAATTGATTTTGTGGTCCATGTCGGAGACTTCGCCTCTTTCCACATCCTTGTGGTGGACGGTTTCTGGGCTGGGAGTGTTCTTGGAGGACCGTAAGGCTTTTACAGCTCCCCCGGTGGCTTCTTCGGCCATGATTTCCTTTAGAGCATCTTGGAACGACAAAGCCTCTTTCGCGAACAACTTCTGCTGAAGATCCCTGTTTCTCAACCCGCAAACTAAATGGTCTCTCAGTCTCTCTTCGAGGTGTTGGAAATTGCAGAGCCAGGACGCCTGTCGTAGGGCAGCTATGAACTTGGCGGCAGACTTGCCTGATTGTTGCTCCCTTTGTTCGAAGGCGTGTCTCCAGGCAATGACTGAGAGCTTCGGTTCGAAATGATCCTTGAGCATTTTCTTAAGTTCAGCATAGGTGACCGATTCAAGTGTGACTGGTGCGACCAGGTTTTTGGCGATATCGAACGTCACCTGGCCGCACATGCACGGCAGCGTTGCGGCCTTTAAGCTGTCTTCGCTAACTTGGTTAGCTCTCAGGTAGTTCTCAACGTGCGAAATATAAGAGCTCCACCTCTCGGGATGCGACACGTCAAACTCCGACAATTTTCCGAGCTTGGCCATGGTGAGTTGTCTCCGACCTCGCAATGCCTTGTGCTGCTAAGGCTTCTGTTGTTGTCCTGGGGACGGGTCCCTCAGGGCGTTGGCCTCCAGCGTTGCTTGCTGGCAGGCAGAGGGGGGAACATCGGTCCTAACAGGTTGCTGAGGCCTGGTCTACCCCTAGTGACTTCTGGCTCTTTCCCTCTTCGCAGCACATCCCACCCTCATCGCCACTGTTATGTTTTCAGTTCGGTGAGGCATTGAAGAGGCGAATGGTGCAAACAGCAACTCTTTATTCAGTTAACAACAGAAGCAGCCCTAACTGCTGCTTAACCACTATTTATACAGCTCACCACTAGGCGGCAGCCAATAGAATTAAAGCAGTATTTCCCTCTTAAAGACAAGCTAATTAACATGTAGACAGTCAGTCTGGAGCTTAAACAGGTGTAGCCTTTTGGCCATTTCCAACAGTTTTCAAGTAGATTAACCTCAATTCATAATACTTAGAAAGTATATACAGGCATATTTGTAGGACTATCAATTTTTTTGTAAATTAAAATTTCCCAAAAAATTAAAGAGCTGCATATTTCATCGATTATGATTTTGTAGTAATAGAGTACAGTATTTTATCTTTAAACATATGAGGTCTCTATCATTTTTTTTCATTTTAGTTTGAGATTTGACATATTAATACACATTTTATAAGCTCCAGGAGGACCATGAACTTTGTTTAGTATAGGTGAACTGACGTATACTCAAGTGCTTCATTAAAATATTAAAATAAAATCCAGATTCAGACTGAGACCAAGAAGTTTAAAAAAAAATAAAAAAGAAATTTGTCACCCAACCTTCTCTGTCGTCCACATAAAGAAAACAGACACTTTCTAACAAAGTGCTCTTTATATATTTAGAAGAATTACATAGCCAATAATTCTGGCAGTTCACAACAATACTAAAACCAACAACTATAAAACAATAATAAAAATAAGATAGTCCTCAACTTACAACACAATTGAGCCCAATATTTCTGTTGCTAAGTGAGACATTTGTTAAGTGAGTTTTGCCCCATTTTATGAACTTTCTTGCCCCAGGTGTTAAGTGAATCATTGCAGTTAACTTAGTAACACGGTTATTAAGTGAATCTGGCTTCCCCATTGACTTTGCTTATCAGAAGGTCACAAAAAGGGATCACATGACCTCAGGACACTGTAGCAGTGATAAATATGAGTCAGTTGCCAAGCATCTGGATTTTGATCACGTGACTATGGGGATGCTGCAATGGTTGTAAGCAGGGCTTTTTTTCTCGGAGAAAAGGTGGCGGAACTCAAACCTGGCCACGCCCTCATCAAACCCTAGGACCGCCCCTTTAGAGAACAGGAATGCAAGTAAAATTTGGGAGGGGCTATTTCCGGTGCGGCCGGCCCGGAAAAAGGTGCCGGAACGCGGTTCCGCCGCGTTCCGGCTGAAAAAAAGCCCTGGTTGTAAGTGTGAAAAACGTTCATGTCACTTTTTTCAGGGCCATTGTAACTTCGAATGGTCACTAAATGAACCATTGTAATTTGAGGATTACCTGTAGTAAAAATAACGAAACAAAAACCTTGTGCCTTAATCTTAGGATGCCCCACAGCAAGCTCCAGTTGCCCTCATTCCATACTTTTAATCTACGCAATTTGTCCCAGCATCTCAGTTAAGAGCCAGATCTCAATGGCTTTCTGAAAGGCTAAAGGGGAAGGGCCCTGCTGAATTGCCAGAGGAAATTTCCATAAGGTGGGGGCAACCATGCAACATCATGCTTCTGAGGACCCACTAGTTGGCAGGATTTCAGGGAAGGGATTTGTGTATGTGCCTATCCTATCTGATCTAGTGGGATGGGCAGATATTCTTAGGGAGAGGCAGTCCTACAAATAACAGAGTCTTGTGCCATTTAGGGCTTTATAGTGATAACCAGCTCTTTAAATTGTATCTAAAAGGAAATTGGGAGCCAGTGCAACTCATTCAATAAAGGTGTCACGCGTCCTTCTTAGTCCATGGGAAAAAACCAGGAACACAGGAACGTGTTGACAAGCAGTTTAATCTGTACAGGAACAAAGTTAGTGCTGGGAGTGATCTGCTCCCAGCGCTTTACATAGCCTCCCCCATCCCGCAGTTCTGCCCCCAGTCAACAGGCCAGCATCCAGTGTTTGGCTGTGAAAAGCAGCATTCCAGTGCCTGGCTGCCCTCCTGCCGCTATCTAGTTCAGGCGTGTTTCCCAGTGTCTCTCACTCCGGGCTGCTCCGGCCTGCAATGGCTTTGCCAGGGCCTCTTTCGCCGTTGGAGGCAACCTGCCCCAACCGGCACCAAGCCCCATGCCGCCAATTGGGACCCGCGGGGCTGTTCTGGCTCTCACCAACATTTGCAAGCCACCCCTGGGCAGAAGCCACGGGGCTTCCATGGAGCTCCCTGCCCTTCTGTGATGTCGCCACGCCGCCTCCTGCACCGCCAGCGTCCTCGAGCCGGAACCTGCTGCAACGGACCGCTGACTGGTCGGTCCTGCCAGCCGCTGACCGGTAGGCCTGTTTTGCGCTACTGACATCCTTGGCCTGGACCCAGTCGGCCCTGCCAGCTGACGATGCCGGAGCCTCCTGTGCCACCTGGTAGGTCCGCTGTGCTGGCTCGGATGGGACCACACCGCACTGCGCAGTGTTTCTGGTGGCTGGCTGCTTGCTTCCCCCCCTCTCGTGAATGTTGAGCCCATGGGGGCTTGACAGGTATAACATGGACAAATACTAGACACTGCTGCATTCTGGACCACTTGTAACTTCCACGTGGTCTTCAAGGGCAGCTCTCATGTAAAAATAAAGGTAAAGGAGTCCCTGGAGATTTTACTTCACTGGTCATAGCTGACTATAGGAAGCAATGCTCATCTCTGTTTCAAGGCCATTGAGCCAATGCTGTTCAAAGACATTTCCGCAGTCATATGGCCAGCATGGAGTGCTGTTACCTTTCCACTGAAGTGGTACTATTTATCTACCTGCATTCGCATACTTTAGAACTGCTAGGTTGGCAAGAGCTGACGAGAGTATGGGAGTTCACCCATTGCATGGTGCTTAGGTCTTGAACCTGGGCTGTTTGTTTTCCAGCCGACAAGCCCAGCATCTTAACTGCTGAGCCATTGCACTACCCCATTGCCCGATGTAAAGCACATAGCAATAATCTAATCAGGAAATAATGAAGATGTGGGGTGACTATGAACAAGACTAACTGCTCCAGAAGAGAGTGCAATTGACTCACAAAATAGATCTGCTCAAAGGTCCACCTAGCTATGGCTGCCACCTGCTCATCAAGCAGGCGCCATGGATACAGGGATACCCAAATTGCACACCAACTCAGTGTAGGAGAGTGCATCCCCTTCCAATGGTAAAGATAAGTCACCAGACCCAGGAGAGCCAAAAACCCAAAGCCACTCTGTGTTGTTAGGCTTGAGCTGCAGTTGATTTATCCCCAACCAACCTCCAGATACTTGTATAGCACTGCAACAGCATCACCTGCATGGCCAGGGGTAGAATGCATACCTGGGTATCATTAATATACTCCAGTTGCTCTGCTGGCCCAGCTAACTGGTACATTGTTGGCCATCCACCAAACCAGCCAAGACCATCATACACATACACTTATCATCCACTATATCAGAGGTGTCAAACTGCCGGCCCGCAGGCCGGACGTGTCATCCGGAAGCCGCACCCACCCCATTGCCGGCAATGGAAAAACTGTCCTGATACGTTGCATGATGTCACGTGACGTCGCAAGTTTGACATGTCTGCACTATATCATCAAAGTCCTCAACAAAATGAGCCTACCAAGCAGGCATCCATATCAGTACCATGATGGGGAAAAAAGGCAATTCCTTCCTATCCTTTTGGGCATATCAGGCAACCCTTAGCAATATAAGTCTTAGCAGACAAGCTTCTCATTAGGTTGTCATTTTAGTAAGGCCCTGATACTTTTTGTTTCTTTGCTTTCTTTGCTTTTTTTTTAAGTTCATGATGTACTTTTATCTCCAACTCTTGTATGCAATTACCTTGGGTCATCTTTTTTCTTGCTCTAAACTAGGATTT